TTTAGGCCATCAGCCTTAATTCTGATCTCGGGTCCTTGACTGGGACTGTAAGCCTGTAGCTCTGTAGTGTTACTATTTGTCTATTATTTTAAAGAATCAACGTTGTGTCATATTGCTTTTGATTAAACAGTGCTCAGGAGGATAAAAGTAACATTCCTTGACACCATTGTTCGAGTGGAACACACTCCAGATGGATCCAGGACAGGCATTGCCCTGGAAGTGCACATTAAAAGGTCAGTAACGTAAAATTCCAGATGGGAGGAGTGACTCTTAAGATTGTGTTCCTGCGCTGGGAGAAATAGGTGGGACAAAGTAGAGGGCGCTTTATTCTGTATCTAACCCCGTGCTGTCCCTGCCCTGGGAGGGTTTGATGAGGGATAGCGTAGAGAGAGCTTTACTCTGCATCTAATCCTGTGCTGTCCCTGTCCTGGGAGTGTTTGATGGGGGACAATGTAGGGGGAGCTTTACTCTGTATCTAACCCCGTGCTGTCCTTGTCCTGGGAGTGTTTGATGGGGGACAGTGTAGAGAGAGCTTTACTCTGTATCTAACCCCATGCTGTCCCTGTCCTGGGGTGTATGAAGTCATTGCTGCGAGCTTGAAATGGAATGAGTTCCACTGTGCTGATGAATGAACACCAAATTAATTTGACACCCTGAAGGTTGGTCAGAAAGCAGGTTCTGAGGAGGACAGAGTCAGCAAACAGTATGGACATAGTATGTTAAGTGAGCGAGCAAAAATGTAATGTATGATTGTGATATTGTCCACTTTGATTGGAGAAATAGAAAAGCTGACTTTTATTTAAATGGACAAAGATTGCAGAATGCTGTGGTGGACAAAGGCCTTAGTATCCTGTTCCATGAATCGCAAGGAACTAAGCTGTAGTTACAGCAGGCAACTTGGAAGGCCAGTGGAATATTAGCCTTTATTACAAAGGAAGGTGGAGTAATTAGAGTAGACTGTAAAGGGCTTTGGTAAGAATGCAGCTGGAGAGCTGTGTATAGTTTTGGCTCTGTTCTTAAAGTAGGCATATACGTGTATTGGAAGCTGCTCAGAGAAGGTTCACTTGGCTGACTCCTATGAACAGATTGTCTTATGAGGAAAGGCCTATACTCGTTAAGGTTTTGAAGAATGGGAAGTGATCTTGTTGGAAAATGTAAGATTCTGAGGGGACTGACAGGGCAGATGCTGAGAGGGTATTTCTCCTTGCTGGGGAGTCTCCAACTAGGGAGCACAGCGTTACCTCAGAGAGGAGGCAGCATTGAGGAAGAATTATTTCACTGTGGGTCATTTGTTTTTGTAATTCTCTCCCCAAGAGATATCAGTCGAGGGTCTGGTTGTGGAGAATGGGCCTGTTTTCTCTAAAAAGAAGGCAGCAGACGGTTGACCTGATACATTTTGTGAATATTCAGAAAGGTTTTGGTCGAAAGAACGTTTTGGTCTGTGGGAAAGAGCAGTGCGTCATCAAAAAAAATTCAAGGCTGAGTCAAACAAGAGTCTTGATCGACAAGGTTTTGGTGGGGAGCCAGGCAGGAAATTGGAGCAAAGGCCCTCGATCACATCAGCCATGATCGTATTGACTGGTGGAGCAGGCTGAAAGGGAAAGCGTGCACTCCCTCCTATTTCTCATGATCTTTGTGTTGGCCGTGTTTGCGCAGACATCTCCAACGCATCTCTGTTTTGTGCAGGTTGGAGTACTGTGATGAAGCTGTGAAGGACTCGGGCGGCGTCTCGAAGAGGGACCCCATTCCCATCGACATTCATCAGCCCCCTGCATTCGTCCACAAGGTGCTGCAGTTTTCTGGGGTATTGTTGCACTACGAGGCAATCCCTGAGCAGGGCGGGGAGCTCCAGACCTCACCACCTGTACTGCCGGTAAGGGCCCTTCTCAGAAACAAAGCTGTAGCTCTGGGGAAATGCTGAGGTCAAGAAGGACCCTCATGTACAGTGTAAAACTAGGGCTACAGAAACAGATTTATAGCACCGAGAACACTTGGCTCATTATGTCTGTGATAACTGAAGAGAAGCCCCTCAATCTCATCACATTATTCCAGTTCTTGGTCCATACTTGAACTTATGGAGTCATTGAGTCATACAGCACAGAAACAGACCCTTGGGTCCAACAGTCCATGCCAACCATGTTGCCAAACTAGACTAGTCCCATTTGCCTGCGCTTGGCCCACATCCATCCTTTCTTATATGTGTACTTAACTAAATGTCTTTTCAACGTTGTAACTGTACCCACATCCACCACTTCCTCTGGAAGTTCATACCACACGTGAAACCACTGTCTGTGTAAAAACAAAATGCCCCTCATGTCTTTTTAATTGTTTCACCTATCACCTTAAAAAGATGCCCCCTAGTCTTGAAATCCCCCCACCCTAGGGAAAAGACAGCTGCCATTCACGTTACCTAAACCCCTCATTGTTTTATAGGCTTCGATGAGGTCACCACTCAACCTCCTACGCTCCAGTGAGAAAAGACCCGGCCTATCCAGCCTATAACTCAAACCCTCCATTCCAGGCAACATCCTGGTAAATCTCTTCTGAACCCTCTCCAGCTTCATAATATCCTTCCTATACCAGGGAGACTAGAACTGGACACCAGAAGAGGCCTCACTAATGTCCTATACAATCCCAATATGAGTAAAATAAACTTGAATATGGGTAATAAGAGAGACAAGTAACCAAAACCTTTCAGTACTCTGGTGATACAAGGTACTTCTGCTATACGTCCTAATGATTGGCTGATTGAATCAAACGACATTTTTCTTTGATGTTCATTGTAGGAAAAGTACGTACTAAACTCGACCAGCCCACGTTTCCAAAATGCAAAACAAAAAGCATCTACTGTAATACATGCTTCTGCTTTTGGACAGCAGTTGCTAAACAATGCCGAGTCTGCATTAACTATGGACTTAAAATAATCAGTTGAGCTTGTAGTGTGGCTTTATTTTCCCTTGCTGTAAGTGGAGTCGATTCAAGCACAGCAAACAAAAGCTCTGCAAACAAAATTATATTCAAACTTTGCACCTCAGGGACCTATAGTTCTCCATTGCTTTCTCAGTGGCAATGCCTCAGCCAAAGTCAACTTGCCAACCAATCAGTACCCTTTTCTCATGTCGTATAAATGGGGAGTGGGGAGGCGATGGCCTAGTGGTATTATCACTGGACTGTTAATCCAGAGACCCAGATAACATTCTGGTGACCCAGGTTCGAATCCCTCCATGGCAGGTGGTAGAATTTGAACTTAATAAATATCTGAAATTAGGAATCTAATGATGACCGTGAATCCATTATCGATTGTTGGTAAAACCCATCTGGTTCACTAACGTCCACTGTTGTAACTCCAGACCCACAGTAATGTGATTGACTCTTAACTGCCCGCTGGGCAATTAGGGATGGGGCAATAAATGCTGGGCCTAGACAGCGACGCCCTCTTTCCATGAATGAATAAAGAAAAAAAAACAAATTGTTGTGATGGCTTGAAATTTGGCATTCTTGCATTTTGTCCTGACAAGTGTGGGATGAGAAACTTCACCCACCCTTCTTCCTTCCAGCAGTACTGGGGTTCTTGGTCTAAGCCCTCTAGGTTCTGGCTCCAAAGGTGAATATCTAAGTAGTTTTTAAATGCAGTGGGAAAAGGAACATTGTGATATGGCCCCCACCAGCGCCACGTGTGATATTCCACATTTACTCTTGAATTTCAGTGCCACTCGCTTCTTAAGAGGCAGCTTTGATAGGACGAGATTACCCCGTGATGTCCTTCATTTTGAAATGTTTTCTCTTTTAAATGCGACGATCATTTCTTCGCAGCAGCAAGTGGATGCACCTGCCTCCTCCGCTGCAGAATCGCAATCTTTCCCTGGAGCAAGCAGCAGGACTGCAGAGGGAAGCGCCCCATCATCACCTTCGCCGCTGGTGCAGATCGGCAGTTGTACAGGGTGCATGGAGTTGACCGTAAAATTCAAGCAGAACGACGTGCTGCCTGGGCCTAAGGTTACTGACGGCTGGGGCCCGTGGGGGATGGGTGGCGAGGAGCAGATCATGGTTTTGGGCAAACGTGCTGGGAGCACACGGCAGGGGAGAGGGAGACTTGCCTCCCCGCCTCTCAAAGCTGCTCGTTCATTCTTAGAATTAATTTCTGAAATGCAGTCACCATTGTAGGAAACTCGGCAGTGCACAGGAAGCTCCCCGCAAACAGCAATGTAATAGTGACCAGATCGTCTGAAGGTTGGCGGTTAATTATGGCTCTGGAACAGTGGGGAGAATTCACACTGTCAGCTGAGAGATGGTGCCACCTCCAGCAGTGCAGCACTCCCTCAGCACTGCACTGAAGCACTGGTCCAGTCTCTGAATCCCTAAACCTTCGTGACTTGGTGTACTCTTTACTGGAAGCCAAGGCTGGCACAGTCTGATAGAATCGTAGAATTCCCACAGTGTGGAAGCAGGCCATTCAGCCCACACCACCCCTCTGAAGAGCATCTCACCCAGACCCACCTCCCTACCCTATCCCTGTAACCCTGCATTGCCTATGGCTAACCCACCTAACCTACACATTCCTGGACACTATGGGATAATTTAGCACGGCCAATACACCCTAACCTGCACCTCTTTGGACTGTGGGAGGAAACCGGAGCACCCAGAGGAAACCCCACGCAGACATGGGGAGAACGTGTAAACTCTACACAGACAGTCCCCTGAGGCTGGAATTGAACCTGGGTCCCTGGCGCTGTGAGGCAGCAGTGCTAACCACCGCGCCATCCCAATAAGCTGAGTTTCCCTTCTAGTAATTGACGGTTAGGTCAGGGAGGGCCAAGCCCTCATTGATGGGTAGTCTACCTCTCCTTTGACGCGGAGGCTACAATTGTTGACCACCTCTGTCGTCCCCTGAGAGGATTGAGATTCAACTCATGTTTGAATTCTGGAGGTGACAAGTTCCTTTCTCACAAGGGCATACAAACATAGGAATTAGAAGCAGAAATAGGCCATTTGACCTCCCAAGCCTGATCTGATGTTCATGGCCAATCTGTTGTGATTCGCATTCCACATTCCCACCTTACTCCAGCCCCAAACAACCTTTGATCCCTATTGGGCTAGGGAATCAGTCAACATCTGTTGTAAAAATATTTACAGGGCCGCTCCCCCAGCACCACCCCCCCCCTCCAAGCCTTCTGATGCAGAACATTCTAAAGTCGCACAACCCTCTGAGGGGAAAAGAAAACTCCTCTGTTCTGAAAAGGTGGACCCTTAATTTTTAAACCGCCCCCCCGCTCTGAACTGGTCAGCACGAGGAAACATCCATCTTGTCAAGACAGGTCAGCATCTTCTACACTTCAATCAGGTCAACCCCTCAGCCTTCTAAATTCCCGTGGAAACAAGCACAGTCTTTCACCGTAAGACAACTCGTACCAAAACATCAGTAAATCAGAGGTCTGGGTTAGTGACACAGGTTCAAATCCATCGCAGCCTCTGGTGGGATTCAAATCCATTTAATAAAACCTGGACTTGAAAGCCAGTCTAGGTGATGGTGACCATGGCGACTAACACCGATTAGCTTAAAAATCCATCTGGTACACTGATATCCTCTTAGAAGGGGAAATCTACTGTCCTCACTCATTGTGGGCTTACATGTAACTCCAGACCCACTGCGATGTGGTGGACTCTGAACTGCCCCTCTGAAATGGCCCAGCAAGCCATCGGTTCAAGGGCATTTAGTGATGGGCAGCAAATGCCCACCTTGCCAACAGTGCCTACATCCCATCAAATAATTGAGGAATGGTCAGTGTAAAACCGGAAGGGGGTGGCTGGGGAGCCACTATTACATCGGATTGGGGGGATGTTGGTTTTTCTCTGTCTTGGGAGTCTATATCCAAGGGACGGGTAGTGGAGGGTAACTGGGGAGATCCCTAGTGTTATGGCTGGCCTTAATAGCTGGGCTGACCACTTAACCCCTCGTACTGAACCCAAAATAGAAATTACTAATTAGCCTTAAGAGAAGATGGAAGGCTGACCCTGGATGAAAACACCAATGTGACGTATGTTGTGTTTATAGACCTTTGTTCCACTCCATATCGTGTGAATTGTTCACTCTGGATTTATCCTGATCTGGTTTAATTTAACCTGTTCACCAGATCAAAACTGAGGGTGTACAAGAGTCCAGGAAAGATCAAATGTGTTGGGCTCCGTCTTCTCATACAACAAGGTTGCTAAAGGCCTAATACAGGTTTTTGAGCTAATCAATGAGTTTGATAGAGGAGAACGTAAATTTATTGCCACCTGTTGGGCAAGAACATGAGAGGTAGTAGCAGAAGTAGGCTGTCTGGCCCCTTGGGGCTACTCTGCCAAAACTAGGACCTAGGAGAGACGTCTTTATCCAGAGAGCGAGGAGAGTGTGGACCTTACTCCCACTAGGAGTGCTCAAGGTGAATAACGTGGATGCACGTTAAGGGGAAACATGAGGGAGGAAGGACTAGAGGAATCTGTTGATAGGTGAGATGGAAATGGGGTGGAAGGAAGCTCCTTTTGGAGCGTAATGACCAGATAGGCTGAATGATCTGCTTCTGAGCTGGAGACTTGATATAAACTGATACAATACCTTGTACCTGACATACCTTCCATTCAAAGGAAAAGGAGGAGACCATTCAGCCTCTCTGGAGCCTGTTATACAGAAACATGATGTAGCCATTCAGCCTTTTGAACCTGTGACACTGGCCATTCAGCCCTTCTCGAGCTTGTTGCACAGGAACTGAAAAAGGCCATTCAACCCCTCAAACCTGTTAGATAGTAACTAGAAGAGATTTTCCAGCTCCTTGGGCCTGTTATAATGGAATTGGAAGAGGTCATTCAACTGCTCAAACCTGTTAGATAGGAACAAGAAGAAGTTTTCCAGCTCCTTGAGCCCGCCAAAATGGAGTTGGAAATGGTATTCAACTTAGGAAGTATGTCGGAAAAGAAGACGCCTATACTGTCCCATAGACTTGTTACACAGAAACAGTAGAAGGGGTTTCTGCCAATCAAAGTGATAGTGCCCAATCCGTACCTCAACTCCTGATTCTGTAACCATTAATATCCAATTCCTCTCAAAATTATAGGTAAGGGGACCAGGGGCAACAAGCCTGGTTGATGTTCTGTCTCTGGGGAGCACTGGAATATGGGTTCTGTTTCTGTGTTTGACCTGTGCTGACTGATCTGTTTTTCTGCCAGTTGGCAATAGATGGGAAGATGGGGTCACTGCACCTGTTCCTGAACCCACAACAGATCTCCAACCTGGCTGACTTATTCAGTACACTTAACCTCACAGGTAAGTTATTGCAGTTAATGGCAGAACCCTGAACAGCAACAGATCTTCGGGTTCAAGCTCCTTGAAAGTGGTCACACAAGTGGATAGGGTGGTAAAGAAGGCATATGGCAGGGTCTAGGCCTGAAACGTCAGCCTTCCTGCTCCTCTGATGCTGCTTGGCCTGCTGTGTTCGTCCAGCTCTAGACCTTGTCATTTCTCTGTATGGCGTGCTTGCCTTTATTGGTCAGGGCACTGAGTACAAGAGTCATCATGTCATACTGCAGCTTTATAAGACTTTGATTAGGCCTCACTTAGAGTATTGCATTCAGGTCTGGTTGCCACATTACAGGAAGGATGTGGAGGCTTTGGAGAGGGTGTAGAAGACGTTTACCAGGATGCTGCCTGGATAAGAGGGTATGAGCTATAAGGAGAGGCTAGAAAAACTTAGGTTGTTATCTCTGGAGCGACGAAGGTTCGCAGGAGACTTGATAGAAGTTTATAAAATTAGGAGATGCGTAGACAGGGTTGACAGTCAGAATCTTTTTCCCAGAGTTGAAATGTCTAAAACGTGGGGGTATGCTATAAGGTGAGGGGGGAGAGTTCAAAGCAGATGTGAGGGGCAAGTAGTTTGCACAGAGAGCGGTAGGAGTCTGGAACACACTGTCAGGGATGAAGGCGGGGGCAGATACGATAGGGATGATTTAAGAGCCTTTTAGATAAACACACGAATGTGCAAGGAATGGAGGGATATGGACCAAGGGCAGGTGGAAGGGATTAGTTTAATTTGGCGTCATGTTCAGCACAACTTTGTGGGCCAGAGGGCCTGTTCCTGTGCTGTACAGTTCCATGTTCCTCTAATGAACTGGGCTAAAGCGTGTTCCCTTAACCATGAGTAACAAAGAAGCTGGAAGTACCTGAATATTTCTCGATAAAAAGCCACAGCCTGTGTAAGATTTGGCATTGCGGTGCAGATTTACTTGTTGGATGTCTTGCCCTGGTACTTGGTGAGGAGAGCTTAGAGGGGGTTATGGCCAGTTGGAGGCAGGGAGCTTTTCCTGATCAGTGAAAGCATAGAGCTGCAGTAAAGCAGGAATAGGAACTTTGCCTCTCAGGCCTGCTCTGTCGTTCAATAAGATCATAGCTGATTTGATGATAACATTCCCAACTTCCCTGATAACATTTCAACCCCTCACTTATTAAATATCTGTGTGTGTTCCAGTATACCTCCCTCCCTCTCTACTTCCTCCGCCTCCCTCTCTACTTCCTCCGCCTCCCTCTCCCTCTCCCTCGTCCTCCGCCTCTCCCTCGTCCTCCACCTCCCTCTCGTCCTCTTCCTCTACCTCCCTCTCTTCCTCTACCTCCCTCACCTCCCTCTCTCCCTAATCTTCCACCCTGTCCTCCCTCCCTTACCTCCCTCCCACTCCCTCCCTCCCTCCCTCTCTCTCCCTCTTCCTCCCTCCCCCTCCCTCCCCTTCCCCCCCCCTCCCCTTCCCTCTTTATCCGTTTGCTTAGTTTCTCTATATCCCATTGTAGCCTCCTTCAGTCATCTTCCTAACTTAATTTCCTACCTGCCTATCTTCATGCTAACAGTAATTTTAGCAACCATGCCTTCGGTACGTTCAGGCAAGACATTTATGTAAATTGTAAAGAGTTAAAGCCCCAGTACTGATTCTTGGGGCATAAGACTATAAGATATAGGAGCAGAATTAGGCCATTTGACCCATCGAGTTTCCAGTACCATTTGATCATGGTGGATATGTTTCTCAACTCCTCCTCCCTGTAACCCTTGATCCCCTTACCAATCGACAGTCTATCTCTGTCTTAAATACACTCACTGACTTGGCCTCCACAGCCCTCTGTGGCAATGAGTTCCAAAGGTTCTCCACCCTCTGGCTGAAGAAATTCCTCAGTTCCAAAGGACCGTCCCTTCTCTCTGAGACTGCGCCCTGGAGTCCTAGTCTCTCCTACTCGTGGAAACACCTTCTCCAAGTCCACTCTATCCAGGCCTGTCAGTATTGTGTAAGTTTCAATTAGATCCCCACTGAGTACAGACCCAGAGTCCTCAACCGCTCATATGACAAACCCTTCATTCCCGGGATCATTCTTGTAAACTTCCTCTGGACTCCCTTAAATGCCAACAGATACTTCATTAGCTATGGGGCCCAAAACGTGCCCACAGTGTTCCAAATGTGTTCTGACCAGAGCCTTAAATAACCTCAGCAGTATGTTTCTGCTCTTTTATTCTAGTCCTCTTAAAGTGAATGCTAACATTGCATCTGCTTTCCTAACTCAACCTGCATTTTAACCTTAAGAGAATCCTGAACTAGGACTCCCAAGTCCCTTTGTGCTTCAGATTTCCAAAGCCTTTACCTGTTTAGAAAATAGTTACATCTCTATTCTTGCCAACACAATGCATAACCTCACATTTTTCCCACAATTTTCTGCCCCTTCTTTGCCCATTCTCCTAGCTGTCCAAGTCCTTCTGCAGCCTCCTCGCTTCCTCAACGCTACCTACCCCACAAATTGTTGTGTCATCTGCAAACTTATCGATAATGCTCTCAGTTCCTACTTCCGGATAGTTAATGTATAATGTGGTCCCAACACAGACCCGTGTGGAACTCCACCGGCTGCCATCCTGAAAAAGACCCCTTTATCTCCATTCTCTGCCCTCTCCCAGTCAGCGATTTCTCTATCCATGCCAGTACCTTGCCCCTAACGCCATGATCTCTTATCTTATTTAACGATATCCTGTGTAGCACCTTGTCAAAGGCCTTCTGGAAATCCAAATAGGAACATCTCTTCTTGCATCTTACAAACCAGATATATTGCCACCTACATCATTGGACTCTCATTTTCCTCAATAACCTTTGATGTGGCACTTTTATTAAAGGCCTTCTGGAAATCTTAAAGTGAGTGCATACACTGGTTCCTTTATTCACGACACGTAATAGATTGTTTAACCATATATCTCTGTTTCAGAACTGACTCTGTATGATTTCCTTGATCTTTTTCCCCGTGCCCTGCTATAATGTGTTTAATAATAGCTTCAAACATTTTCCCAATAACAGCTGTTGAGCTAACTGGCTCAATCCTGCTTTTTGTCTCCCTCCCTTTTGGAGTAAAGGAGTTATAGCCACTATTTTCCAATTGAATAAGACCTTCCCCAAATCTAGGGAATTTTGGAAAATTAAAACCAAGATATTAATGACCTCACCCGACACTTGTTTGAAGACCATGGGGTGACGTCTATCAGGGCCCCAGGGACTAATTGGCCCACTGCTCCAATAGTATGTTTTGACCACGGTGATTGTAATTTTCTTGGGTTCCTTCATCCTTTCCATTTCCGGGAAGTTGCTTGTATCCTTTATAGTAAAGACCAGTCTATGACACTTGTTCGGCAGTGTGGCATTTTTCATTTTGTTTTCTCTCCTCATTCCGAAGCAGAAGTGAACAGACTGAAGGAGAAGCTGAGCAAGAGTCGGCCACTGGACCCCGAGGATTTCAAACTGATTGAGCAGGATCTCAACAAGCAGCTTCACTCGGGCCAGAGTTCGGGGCACGCCAAGAGCGAAGAGCTGGACTCGTTTGCAGGCACAGAGAATGGGGGTAAGGAGGGTGGCACAGTGGTTCAGTGGTTAGCACTGCTGCCTCACAGCGCCAGGGATCCAGGTTCGATTCCAGCCTCAGTGACTGTCTCTGTGGAGTTTGCACCTTATCCCTATGTCTGCGTGGGGTCCTGCCAGGTACACCAGTTTCCTCCCCCTGTCCAAAGATGTGCAGGTTAGGGTGGATTGGCTGTGCTAAATTGCCCCATAGTGTCCAGGGCTGTGCAGGTTAGGGTGGATTGGCCATGCTAAATTGTCCCATAGTGTCCAGGGATGTGCAGGTTAGGGTGGATTGGCCATGCTAAATTGCCCCATAGTGCCCAGGGATGTGCAGGTTAGGGTGGATTGGCCGTGCTAAATTGTCCCGTAGTGCCCAGGGATGTGCAGGTTAGGGTGGATTGGCCGTGCTAAATTGTCCCATAGTGCCCAGGGATGTGCAGGTTAGGGTGGATTAGCCGTGCTAAATTGTCCCATAGTGCCCAGGGATGTGCAGGTTAGGGTGGATTGGCCATGCTAAATTGCCCCATAGTGTCCAGGGATGTGCAGGTTAGGGTGGATTAGCCATGGGAAATGCAGGTTTACAAGGATAGTGTGGGAGGAGTGGGGGGGTCATGGGTGGGATGCTCTTTGGAGGGTCGGTGTGGACTTAATGGGCCAAATGGCCTGACTCCACACTGTAGGGATTCTATGATTCTATGAGTTCAGCTTGGATTTGGCGCGCCACCAAAGAGTAGTTTGCTTCACATGGACTCAAGACTTGCCTTTATTGGTCAGTGCATTGAGTGTAGGATTTGGGAGGCCATGTTTCAGCTGTACAGGCCATTAGTGAGGCCACTTTTGGAATACCGCGTTCAGTTCTGGTCTCCCTGTTATAGGAAGGAAGTTGTTTAGATATTATTGAAAAATGATGTTGAAAGGGTTCAGAAAAGATTTGCAAGGATGTTGCCAGGGTTGGAGGGTTTGAGCTACAGGGAGAGGCTGAATAGACTGGGGCTATTTTCCCTGGAGCGTTGGAGGCTGAGGTGTGACCTTATACAGGTTTATAAAATCATGAGGGACCTGGATAGTGTGAATAGACAAGGTCTTTTTTTCCCCATGGTACGGGGAGTCCAAAACTGGAGGGTATTGGTTTAAGGTGAAAAGAGTAAGATTTAAAAGGGTCCTATGGGATAACTTTTTCACACAGAGGGTGGTGCGTGTATGGAACGAGCTGCCAGAGGAAGTGGTGGAGGCTGGTACAATTACAACATTTAAAAGGCATCTGGATGGGTACATGAATAGAAAGGGTTTGGAGGGATATGGGCCAAATGCTGGCAAATGGGATGAGATTAATTTAGGATATCTGGTCGGCGTGGACGAGTTTGACCGAAGGGTCTGTTTCCGTGTTGTACATCTCTATGACTGTATGAAACAGGAGCCGGGAATCGACCATTCGGCCCCTCAAGCCAGCTGTGCCTTCGGTTTCAATCATGGCTGATCTTGTAGTGGCCTCAATTCCAGTTTCCTGTTCTGACCCTCCACTCCCTTGTCATTCAAAAACCTGTCCAACTTGACCTTGAATATCTTCAATTTCCCCACATCCACTGCCCTTTGGAGTAAACTCATAACCCACTGAGTGAAGGAATTCCTCCTTATCTCTATCTTAAATGGGACGTCTCTTGTTCTGAAATTTTGTTCCCTATTTCTGGACTCCCTCATAAGGGAAAGCAGCCTCTTAGGATCCACGCTGTTGAGCCCCCTCACAATCTTACGTGTTTCAATGAGATTACCTCCCATTCCTCTGAAGTCCAGTGAGTTGAGGCCTAATCTGCTCAAACGTGCCGTGTAAGATGACCCATTCATCCCAAACATCTCTTAAGTACCTCTTGGGGTCGTATGGTGGCTCACTGGTTAGCACTGCTGCCTCACGGTGCTAGGGACCCGGGTTCGATTCCACCCTCAGGTGACTGTCTGTGTGGAGTTTGCATATTCTCCCTGTGTCTGCCTGGGTGTCTGCCAGGTGCTCTGATTTCCCCTCACACTCCAAAGACGTGCGAATTAGATGGCTTGGCCCATGCTAAATTACCCATAAGTGTTCAGGGTTAGGTGCGTCAGCCATGGGAAATGCAGGGTGACAAGGAGAGGACAGGGGGAATGGGTCTCGGTGGGATGCTCTTCAGAGAGTCGATGGGGAACCATTGGGCTGAAAGGCCTGTTACCATTCTGCAGGGGATCTATGCATTCTATCCCCTCATCAGGAGACCAAAACTCTACACGGGATTTAAGTTGTGGGCTCAGCAATGGCCTGTATATTTGGAGCAAGACTTTTCCTCTTTTATCCTCTGCCTTCCTCAGGTCAGTCAGCTTTTACTGCCAGTGTTAGATAAACAAGGCAGAGCAGTGACTGAGATTCTTATTCCGACCTGAAGCCAGCTTCCGTCGCTGCCCCCCCCTCCACTGCCCAATGCGCATGCACACACGCACAGACACAGTTCAACATCTTACCTGAGGTAAAGGCTGGTGCTGCCTTGAACAGAGGGGAGTGGAGAGAGCTCAGTGGGCATCTCTTCCAGACTGACTGGGATGAAATATTAAAGATGATCACTGTGGGAGAAGCCCAGTCAGACAGTACAAGCCCATTGCCTATATGGTAACAATCCCTTGACTCCTTTGGTTGATTGCACTGTTTTCTGCTGTGAGAGTTTGCAGGCTATTCAACCATGGACTGCACCACAGCCCCGTTCTTACATTGATGCCAAGAGCTGCTGGATAATTGGAAACGGGCCGTATAATTAATTCTGTTTCAGTTTAGCCTGTGTCTTACATGTTGCTCTGTCTCCGTTGCCAGTACCCACAGAGATGTTTTACTCCATGGCTCCTATGACCAGCAGTGTGGCCTCAGTGCAGTCGGTGAGTGAGCTGTCAGATGTCGACCTGGAGAGCTCCATGCGCAGTGATTACAATAGCTGCCCTCTGCAGCCCCCGTCATTGCAAGCATGTGTAAGTAACAACACATAACCTTTACATAGCCCCCTGTATGCAGTAATACATCCCGCGCTGCCTAAAAGGACTGAAACAGAATATCAAGCTGCACGAGATGTTAAAACAAGGTGTGAAGAACACCTTGGTCAAATAGGTGAGGTTTGGGAAGGGAGTACCAGAGCTTAAGATGTCTGGTAGCTGAAGGCACTGTCACCAGTGGAGGAGCCAAGAAGATTGTGGGCATGCAAGAGGCCAGAATTATAGGGCTCGGACACTTCGGAGGGTTGTAGGGCTGGAATAGGTACAGGAATAGAGAGGTGCAAAGAAGCCATTGAGAAATCCGATCCCAGAGCTGAGAATTTTAAAATTGAGGCATTGTTGGACTGGGGCCCTATGTCGCTCAGCGAGCACAGGATTTATGAGGATATAGTATGATGGGTACATTGATTAAGCAGCACAGCAACAAGTCATTTGCTGTCACCAATGGTCCAACTGGAGCTTATCCTCCAATTCCTCTTCACCCAACTCCATCAACATAACTTCGTGCTTATTTCTCCCTCATGACTTTATCTCCAGCTTCCCTCCCCTTAAATGCATCTACAAATACAGCTCGGACCACTTGCAACTTCCACATTCCTACCAGTCTCTGAAAGAGGAGGTTTCTCCTGAGTTCCTTATTGGATTCACTGTGTTATACTGATGGATCCTAGATCCAGTCTCCCCACTAGAGGAATCATTGACTCTACCTTTACCCGATCAAACCTTTTCATAATTTTGTAACCCCTGATTAGGTCATGTCTCAACCACCTCTTTTCTCACATAAACAACCCTCACCTGTTCAATCTCTGCTGACATGTATAACGTTTCAGTTCCAGGAGAATTCTGGTAAATCTTTTTGCCTCTTGCATTGAAAACCGGACCTCACTGGTGTGAAAGATGACCAGTTTAATCATTGTGACTGTGACTCCTCATCTAAGATATAAGAAACTCACGCCAGGTTTCATTAATGTTCAAGAAATTTATAGTAAACTTATTCTCTAAAGTGGCAAAAACAGATTATTAATTCATAAATGTCAATTATACTGTACCCCCTTTAAATCCAAGTGCACATTTATTCACACACAGGATGAATAACACAGACAAGAATATTGGGAATGGAAAACGCACAAGAAAAGGCTGGAAGTCTGTGGGTCAAAGTGTAAATCAAAGGGGGTGCCTTTACTCACTGTTCTGTTTTTGGTGATGATATCACATTTGAACATTGACACAGTTGACAACATTCGGTAGCCAGTCAATTGGACCTAGGTCTTGGACTAAATTGGAAGTTTTCTTTATTTTGGCAAAGTAATTAAATGTTATTTTCATTTCTAATTAGAGAGGGAGGGATGATAACTGTGGGAGAAGCCCAGTCAGACAGTACAAGCCCATTGCCTATATGGTAACAATCCCTTGACTCCTTTGGCTGATTGCACTGTTTTCTGCTGTGAGAGTTTGCAGGCTATTCAACCACAGACTGCACCACAGCGAGAGGGAGACTGAAAGAGAGAGTGTGATTTTGCTTTTTGCAGGTTTGTTCCCGTCTGATTTCTCACCCCTCAGTTTAGTGCCCAGCTGCTACTTACAACCAATCCAAAACCTGTTACTGGGTAGTTATTTGTTTTCAAAGACACCTGGTGCTGCACGTTTCATGAAAGTATCAGAATCAGGTTCTTCACAAAAAGACATACCTTTGTGTGACCAATAAATGACCACTTTGCTTTGAGTTGTATTACACTAAGAGGGAACTTGTTCATTCTCTGTAACAAAGCAGCCTAAACTTCCATTTGTTTTCCATTACTTTTCCAACTGAAATACCTACAGTCCTTGCAGTGGTTAGAAAGTCTGCTTTGGTTCTCCGAGACATTGTCACAGCTTTATAAAAGGCAGTTTGGCCTTTAACTTTCTCCCATCCCTGCAGAGTAATTTACTTCATGAAACCTGCAAATTGCCTCTCACCCGGTATGTGCTGTGGGCAAACTTCAGGAGATGGGTGGAGGTGAAAAGAAATGTAATTGTTTGACAAGTTGTAAGAGCCCTCATTCATGCACACTTAAGAGGGAGATGATCTCTTATTCATAAGCAAACCTGTATTCAGTAATGGTATGGCTAAACCTTTTGATAGCCTCTTAAAACTGTCCATCAAATGTGCAGTCACCATTCTGGCTTCCACTATTAAAACTGCAGGGAGTAATGAGTAATGCTTTTTCTGAACTACACAGCTGGCCTGTCAATCAATACATTCCAGCTGGATTGTTTTTATTCTAACTGCTACAGCCCATTTGTTTATTTTTGATAAAGGGCTGTGGATTTAAATAACTTCAAGTCATTTTACATAAATGAGCTTCATTTTAACTATATGGCCCCTCCATAAAATTGCAGCTCCACACTGTGCGTTAATATCCTTGGAACAGTAAAAATGAGGTCTGTTTAAACTCGCACTATCTTTGAATGGTCCAGCAGACCCAGATTTCGCCGGTCATTTATAAAGACCAATGTAGCCCAACTTGGTGAAAATCTTGGCTCCTTAGAGCCATTGAGGGGGACTGACCTATGTTTGTCCTGCATGGGAGTCTCTGGCCTGCTGTGTGTGTGGGGTCACGCATGCAGTCAAGAGAGAACCTGCCTAGTTTCAAGGAGCCAAGAGCCAGTTCTGTGGTAATCTGTGCAGGGAGAAGGTATGGAAAGACTCAGTATTGATGCCAATACAATGCTCGCAACGACGAAGGGGAAGGAATTATTCAGCAAAAGCTGAGAATGGTGGCTGTTGCAAGAACGCAGTGTGCTTCGTTTTGCAACAACTTCCTTTCGGGTTCCAATGACATTGAAGACGAGGCAACACAGTTTATATTTCTTTACCTCCGCCTTACACCGTGGCAAATGTGGCAGTGCACACAGTTTGGTCTCTGGGCCCAGATCCCTGGATTGGGACTTAAGCCCAGGGACCTTTGGAATCAAAGGCAAGAGTGTTACTCACCCCGAGTCAGGTATCGTCTTCCTTCCCAGCTACTGCACAGTGCGGTTTTGTCCTGTATTTATGCATGTGTGTGTGTGCGCATGCATACAGGAGTGTTAAGAGAAGTGCAGGAAACCACCCAGTTTGCTTTTTGTGTGCGTTGAGGGCCCTGGCAAGTGCTTGGTGCCCTATCAGGAGGGCAGCTAGGCTGCCCGTTGTGATGCTGAACCGAGTAGACCGAAACAGGCCTGGGTTTAACCCTCAACTTGTGCTAAGCCAGCTGAACTGAGGAGGGCAAGACTTGGCCTCAGCATGACCCCTCCAAACCACTAACCAACCCCAACCACCACCACCACTCTCCGTGCCACAGGAGGTGGAAATTAAATCAGCCCCTGTGGTGCAGTGGTCTCTTCAGATAATGTGCTGATTTATCTGCCCCTTGTACTCGAGCTGACCGGCATCAGCAGGCTCCTTCCTGATCTCTGTGCCCGGGTGATGTATCGTACGCACTGCGATACTGACATGTTTCTCTTTGAATGCCCTCCAGCTGCTGATGAACAGTCCGCACCGCTATGGGAGCCCTGTGTTCCCCAACATGCTCCCCAGTTTACAGTCCATGAACAAACAACAAGGTCAGTACCAGCAGAGTGTGAGTACCACACTCACTAAACAGTGATCTTTCTTCAGGGCGTGTAGCTCTGTTGAAGGCTAGGTTAGTCCTGAGTGCTTTTTCATGTCTCCTTTATAGATGGGGATTGATACAGGGCTATTGAGTTTGTGTTCAGAATCAATATAGAGCTATAGGGAGACTGTGATTGAGGGCTGAGGGTGAGCACGGGGCAGTGGGATTAGTTTAGAGATTGATACAGGGCAGTGGGAGAGTGTGAGGTAGTTTGGAGATTGGTACAGGGCAATGGGAGAGAGTGAGGCAGGAGGGAGGCAATGGCCTAGTGGTATTATTGCTATTATATAATCCAGAGACCCAGATAATGTTCTTGGGACCTGGGTTTGAATCCCGCCATGGCAGATAGTCAAATTTGAATTCAATAAATTATCTGGATTAAGGAATCTAATGATGACTGTAACTGGAAAAACCCATCTGGTTCACTAATGCCCTTTAGGGAAGGAAACTGCCATCCTTACCTGGTTTGGCCTACATGTGACTCCAGACCCACAACAATGTGGCTGGTTCTTAACTGCCCTCTGGGCAATTAGGGATGGGGCAGTAAATGCTGTTTAGCCAGTGACATGCCCTCATCCCGTGAATGAATAAAGGAAGGAAGAGAGATGGGGAGGCAGAGAGATTTAGCGAGAGAATCTCAAAGCTGGGAGCACAATTAGGGATGGGCAATAAATGCTGCCTGGTCAGCAATGCCCTCATTTCGTGACTGAATTAAAAAGAAAAGTGGGATTAGTTTGGAGATTGATACAGTGCTATGGGGAGAGATTGGGGCAATGGGTTAGTTTGGGATTGATACAAGGCTGTGGTGAGGCAGTAGAATGAGTTTGGTCTCAAGCAGAGAGCTGTCTAACCTGTTGCCTCTCCTCCCACCAGGTAAATCTCAGCCATCCCCATCCCTGGACAATGTGAAGGCTGAGCTGCTGCTAAGGCTGACTATCGGTGGGATGACTGCCACACTGCTGCACCTAGATCCGCTGCTTGGACAATCTCCTGCATCGCAGGACCCCATATCCGGAACAGGGACCTATTTCCAAACTGCTGCCTGCCGTTACTTTACCGAGCTGGCATACTTCAAGGACAGCATCTTTGGGGGGAGAGGCTTTGACCACCTGAGAAGCCAGTTCGAGAAGGCCTGCCCCCACAATAACTTGAGGTACTGGATGTAGAGGCTGGGACAGTTCACCTGCAGCTTTCCCTGGCATGTAGTTGGCAAATCACTGAACTGCTTGGAGTAGGGATGTTCCATGTACAAGATCTCCTGTTGTGGAAGGGGCAGAGACTGAAATGCTGCAGCCATGCCTGTCTAGTAGGAGAGGACAGCTCTCACACATGCTTCCTGTTCTTTGTCACACCCCATACCCTTCAACATCTCACTAAATCTAAAACCCCTCACTCCCTGCACTTTTTAATATCCCACCCAGTCTAATAGCACTATCCACCTCCCTCCCTGCACCCTGTAATATCCCACTGAGTCGAGGTTGTCTCTCTCCCTCACTCCCTGCACCCTTTAATATCCCACCCAGTCTAACCC